GTCATCGTCGTTGCCTTAGACTATGAAAGAAAGGGGACTGGTAACCTATCAAGGGCAATGCTGCGTGTTGAAGCCTGTGGCAGCCATATTTTCGGAGCCAAAGTTTGTTTCCTTTTTTGCATTTTTGTGTGTCGCGAAGTGTGCGATTAAAAACATTATTGGACAATGGTACATTGTAGTGCACGAAAGTGATAGCCAAAAAATACAAGAAGGAATATCGGTACTAACCTACTTTTAGCTATTTTCAAAAGCGCGCTAGGATATTATTGGCAGGAATGACGTTGCCGAACCTACTAAAGTGGCGCCCGGGGCGGACCGCTACTCCACCCCCACACCCTACGCTACGCCACTGGTTCTAACACTATCATATAGCTAGGAAGTCTTTGTCTAGAAGAAGGTGAGTGATATAATCAGTGTACCCGAAGATTAACACAGTACTTACGAACGGAAAATAATACATGTCGGCGGGACCCGTGTTTTACTACGAAGGCGTCTAAGGGACACCGTATTCTTTTTTTGTTTCCTATACATTCCAACGCAAAATTTTGTATTATAACACAAAATGTGGCGTTACGATACAAAATTTTGCGTTATAGGACGAAATTTTGCGATATAACACAAAAATTCTCGGTATATCACAAAATATTGTGTTTACCTATAACACGAAATTTCCCGTCTTTCCACTTCGTAACTGTAAGTTATTAAATAGCAGGTGCTTGGAAGTGGTGCTTCGTAAGCAGTGTATTGTGTGGCATTCACTATCAAGGTAAGTATAGGTTATAATATGTAATAAAAAATTTACATTGCACCAAGGTACAATAAAAAAAACCGAGCCAATCTGGGGGATCATAAGATATTCATACTCACATTTTTTAATTATCAAAATAAACAAACATATCACAGTAAGCAAACAAAAGAGTTAAGAAACAGCTCCCTACTTTATGCCTGCATTTTATAAATCAATCGAAATCAATTTTTTTCATTACCAGCGTCTGATGACATGATTATTAACCTTTTTTCCACTTGTAAAGTAGGCTTTCTCGGCATTTGTTCAAAGTGGTTAATAATGTGGACATTATTAACTAGTAGTCAATAATGAGAACTGTCACGCTGTCACTTTTAGAAGACAACCCGAAATTTTGCTCAATAAACGTTTAGACAAGTTCTCTAAAATGAATAATTGCCACCACTCGCTATTTCCAGAGAAATTACATACCTAAAATTATCACATTTTGAAAAAATTCGAACGAAATTACTCTTTGAAAATATCTTGCGGCGCTCCAAAATTCTGTTTCAAAAATCCGTTATTTTTCGTTTCCTTATGCCTAATATACATATCCAAAATTTGATTAAAATTATCTCGGAAAATTGCACGTACGTAGGTACGTACTTTTTTGATGAGTTTTATGCACATAGTGGTGAGTTTATATAAGTTTGTGTTTTTTTGTAGTTTGTGAATATTGTTTGTCATTTACCATTTATACTTTTAACCTTTTATAATTTTAAATGTGTTATTGACAAATGTAAGTGTATAGTTGACGCCAAATTAAGTTGGGTATGACTCATTCTTAAAATTGTACGGATTAAGATTCAAGCAACGTCAGTCGTATCTAAATCGACGTTTAGTTAATATGCGCACGGGTAGATGTCTCTGTAACTTGCTAACTTCAAGTTCAACTTTTAATCTGTCAAACTTCGAGGTTGCGTATAGTTGACGCCAAATTAAGTTGGGTATGACTCATCGCTATGTATTGCAATAATTAGCGTATGGAACGGTGCCTCTCACACAGATTGACGGTTGCTAGAGAAGGATAGAACTTCGTAACTTGAGTCTGCTGTACAATTCATACGGGCGGTCTAAAACGTATGTCGCGCATTCCTCAGCTTTTCTTCTGTCATTTCGTGTTTACCTGGTTAACATTTATTTTTACGTTTTTACTTCAATACATCAAGAAACAGTTTTTTTAAAAAACTACTTTGCACTTGTGGAGAGTTTAATCGGTAAATTGTAACAACTTGCATATGAAATTGTGAAAACCATTGACGTAACTTTATAATTATCTTGTAGCATCTAAACTAGAACTGAACATCTGTTATAAGTATAACGAAATTGTTTTTGACTTCTTCTTGACATAATCTCATAAGCTGAAGCACGATATGTACAGATACAGATGTCTCGTTACGAAATCACCTTTGCCGAAAGAAGAGGACTGTATACGATATTGTGAAACCTTGCTCGTAGCTAATGTTCAACATTTTAGAATAACGCATTTGATTTGCCAGTTTTCTGCCTGAAATGCATGTTATAAATGAATGCAGAGGATCGGTGTGTTTACCTACATTAAGTATAGGTTCAAATAAGTGGAGATAATTATAACAACCATTTCTTCTATTTTAATAATTCACTACTATAAATAGTAACAGTTCCCTTTAAGTGCTTTTAGTTTTGAATCCGCATATCAATTTACGCAACCTCGAAGTTTGACAGATTAAAAGTTGAACTTGAAGTTGGCAAGTTACAGAGACATCTACCCGTGCGCATATTAACTAAACGTCGATTTAGATACGACTGACGTTGCTTGAATCTTAATCCGTACAATTTTAAGAATGAGTCATACCCAACTTAATTTGGCGTCAACTATAAATTGATATGCGGATTCAAAACTAAAAGCACTTAAAGGGAACTGTTAAAGGGAACTGTTACTATTTAGTGAATTATTAAAATAGAAGAAATGGTTGTTATAATTATCTTCACTTATTTGAACCTATACTTAATGTAGGTAAACACACCGATCCTCTACATTCATTTATAACATGCATTTCAGGCAGAAAACTGGCAAATCAAATGCGTTATTCTAAAATGTTGAACATTAGCTACGAGCAAGGTTTCACAATATCGTATACAGTCCTCTTCTTTCGGCAAAGGTGATTTGGTAACGAGACATCTGTATCTGCACCTATCGTGCTTCAGCTTATGAGATTATGTCAAGAAGAAGTCAAAAACAATTTCGTTATACTTATAACGGATGTTCAGTTCTAGTTTAGATGCTACAAGATAATTATAAAGTTACGTCAATGGTTTTCACAATTTCATATGCAAGTTGTTACAATTTACCGATTAAACTCCCCACAAGTGCAAAGTAGTTTTTTAAAAAAAACTGTTTCTTGATGTATTGAAGTAAAAACGTAAAAATAAATGTTAACCAGGTAAACACGAAATGACAGAAGAAAAGCTGAGGAATGCGCGACATACGTTTTAGACCGCCCGTATGAATTGTACAGCAGACTCAAGTTACGAATTTCTATCCTTCTCTAGCAACCGTCAATCTGTGTGAGAGGCACCGTTCCATACGCTAATTATTGCAATACATAGCGATGAGTCATACCCAACTTAATTTGGCGTCAACTATACCTACCAAACACGCTAGCACAATAAATATTACTTATTAAATAAATATTATTATACTGCAGTGTTCGGTTCTCGATATCACTTTGTATTATACGTAGTATGCCATATTGGCTGCCTAACACCACCTATTTTAAAGCAAGTTCAGAATTTCCCTGCGCCCCGACCCCGTCTCTGCTCACGCTTCGTCATTCGTCGTTTTGGTGCCTTCACTGCCGGTTGTTTTTCGTTTACTTACGTTAATTTATTTTTTCGCTGTTCTGAAAAGTGTTTAAGGTAAACCTTTGTTATATAATCCCGTTTATATTGCAGGTCTTATTTACTTTTTAGAATGGGAAAATCAAAAAAGAAAAGAGATCGAAGTGACTCTCCGGAAGTAAGAATTCAAAAAAAAAGATCTATTAAAACGCCTGGAGTTTTTGGAAAGAGCGAATAGGTGTTCCCGTTCTCGTAGCACGAGAAGATCGTCTTTTCCATCTTCGCGATCGCGGGGGGATGCACGATCACGGTCGTGTTCTGCGAGTAGTCGTGAAGGTCGTTATCTGCGGGATACGAATTCACGCTCTCGCTACCCTAAATGTGCTTCGCCTCCTTCGGCGAGTGAGAGGAGCAGGTCTAGATCACCGTCTTCGACGGTTTCATCTATTACGCGTAAGGACCGCGAGGGTCGATCACTGCGGGGATCGAACTCGCAAAACAGCTTGAACAATGGTCGTGTTTATCGCCCGGAGTCGCTGACAACGACAGATTCTCGGCGCGTTGAAGGCCATTCACAGCATGACTCCGAGTGCGAGTCATCTGATATCCATGTGCGTGATCAACAGTTATTAAACTCCGATTCTTCTCCAGCTATTTCCGTCCACAACGAATTGGAATTGTCGGATGACGTCTTACTTTTATTAGACGACGATCCAAATACGAAAAAACCAAACCTTTTCGAGTTACACTCAAAAGTAGCTGGAAGATGGTCTCATATTATTTATAACGGGCTAGAAAAAGACGAAAAATCCCAACTTTTACAAAAATACAATCATCCTTCAAACTGCAAGGCTCTAATCCCACCGTTGGGGAATCCGGAAATTAAGGCGATTATGACTATCCCTCACAATTCTAGAGACGCAACGCACTTTCACTACCAAGAACAATAATTGTGTAGCGGTTTATCGGCTATAGGCATCGCCCTTAACAAAATCTTTGACGACGATAAAAATTTACAGAACTCAACGAAAGAAATTTTACTCAAATCGTTAGTCGACGCGGGAAAAATTTTTTCCAGCCTTTTTAATAACATTTCCCAAGTTAGAAGGAGCTTGGTATCGCCTTTAATGAGCAAATCTATCTCAGAAATAGCGAACAGCAGTCCACCAGACGATTTTCTTTTTGCTGCAGATTTGACTGAAAAAATCAAATTGGCGAAACAGCTCGAAAAGGCAGGAAAGGATCTAAGACCAATTACTTTTCAACCCCCGCCGCAGTCCTTGAGGAAAGGAAAAAGAGGGGGAGCGGCACCATCCAGACCTTACCAGACTAGACCAGGTTATTATTCGGGCGGAAATTTAAACAGGAGACGCCTGACTTATCCTCCGAGGGAGATCAAGTCACGAAAGGCCCTGCCCTCGAGAAACGACAGGAAATTTTCGAATTACAGGAACAAGTAGGGGTAAGTAACTCAGTCGCTGGCAGACTAAAATTCTTTCTTAAGAATTGGCAAGAATTAACAAGTAATCCTATTGTCTTATCTTGGATTAAAGGATATAAAATACCTTTTTACAAAAATCCAATACAATATAAAGTCCCAACAGAAATATCATTGTCGGTTTCGGATCAAATTCACATGGCACAAGCGATTAAAGACCTTATTGCATTGGGTGCAATAGAAAGGTGCGTTGCTTGTCCGGAACAATTCATCTCTAACGTGTTTTTAAGGAATAAACCAAATGGTAAAAAGCGGTTTATTTTAAACTTAAAACAGCTAAATTCTTATGTGATGTCTCCTCACTTCAAAATGGAGGACTACAGGATCGCATCCTTTATGATACAAAAATCGTACTTTATGGCACATATTGATTTAAAGGATGCGTATTTCTTAATCCCTGTGGATAAAAAATCGAGAATATTTCTTCGTTTTTATCACAATTCAGACCTATGGCAATTCACTTGTTTGCCGTTTGGCTTATCTTCAGCACCCTTTTGTTATACAAAATTAATGAAACCTATAGTCTCACATTTGAGATCTCGAGGCATTCTGTCTATAAATTATCTAGACGATTTCTTGATATCGGGCGAATCGTTGGAAATCTGTAAAAACAACATCTCGTATACAGTAAATCTTTTAGAATCACTTGGACTATTAATAAATTATGAAAAAAGTGTTTTGCAACCATCAAACAGAATCCAGTTCTTAGGATTCGTCTTCGACAGTCTGGCACTTACCATAGAACTCCCAGGAGAGAAAAAACTTTCAATTGCAAATCAAGTAAAGTGGTTTCTAAGCAAAAATACATGTACAATACGGTTTTTCGCAAAATTCATAGGTACTCTTATTGCAGCATGCCCCGCAGTCAAATATGGGTGGCTTTACACAAAGAGTCTCGAAAGAGAAAAATTTCTTGCACTTAATTCAAATCAACAAAACTACGACGCAAAAATGGTTATTCCCAACTTAATAGCTAATGACTTACGGTGGTGGGAAAACATAATCAATTCAACCAAAAATTCGCTCAGGATAGACTCCTATTTATTAGCCATTTATACTGACGCGTCGACGACAGGGTGGGGTGCATGCTGCAATGGGGAGAAAACTCGAGGTTTTTGGTCGGATTCCGAGAGGGATCAACATATAAATTTTCTAGAGTTAAAAGCCATCTTTCATGGACTTAAATGCTATGCATCAAACCTTAAAAATCAAAATATTCTATTAAGAAGCGATAATACTACTGCAATTTCTTACATCAATAGAATGGGTAGTATAAAGTATCCCACCCTCTTACGACTTTCTAAACTGATCTGGCAATGGTGTGAAAAAAGAAACCTTTGGATCTTTGCCTCCTATATTACCTCAAAAGATAATTGGGAAGCAGATAGAGAATCTAGAAGACTCACCGAAGACACGGAGTGGGCTTTATCGGATACTGTCTTCAAGTCTATCACAAAAATCTTGGGTTCACCAGACATCGATCTTTTCGCATCAAACATTAATACAAAATGCAAAAAATTTTTCTCTTGGGTGAAAGACCCTGATTCAATAGGCGTAGACGCTTTCACTTTTTCGTGGTCGAGTTTGAATTTTTACGCCTTTCCACCTTTTGCAATATTACTTCGGGTATTGGAGAAAATCATACAAGATAAGGCAGTTGGAATACTTGTAGTACCACTTTGGCCGGCACAACCATGGTATCCTATTTTTAGGAAACTCGTTGTGTCTCAAGAAGTAATATTACGACCTTCACCTACAATGTTGTCTTCTCCTTTTAGAGCTCAACACCCATTAGCCAACACCCTTACATTGGTAGCCGCCAAATTATCAGGGAGGCCTTCTTAAAAAAGGGGGTACCAGCTGAAGCAATCGACACGATGACCTGCTCTATCTCCGAAGGAACACTAAAACAATATAATGCTACATACAAGCTCTGGTGGAGTTTCTGCTTAAAACATCAAATACCTGTGTGGGATGCCACAACTTCTCACGTCTTGAAGTTTCTTACATATGTACAAACAAACAAAAAGCTCAAATACGGTTCCATTAACTCACATAAATCTGCATTAGCACTAATATTGAACACCGATCTGTCCAATAACATACTCCTTAAAAGATATTTAAAGGGTGTTTATCGACGAAACCCTCCAACACGAAAGTATAATTCAACATGGAACCCTCAACCACTTCTAGATTATATTAGTAACATGGCCGAACCTCTGGATCTGAAAAGTTTGTCCCAGAAGCTAGTCACCCTTCTGGCTCTAACAACTGCGGGACGCTTACAAACTATTTCCTTAATACGAATTTCGGGAATTGTAGAAAGTCCACAAAAAATCCAAATTTTTATTTCGGACCGCATTAAAACTTCCAGTTTAAACAAAAAACAACCTTGTCTACAACTTCCTTTTTTCAATGAAAAGCCAACACTATGTGTGGCATCAGCACTCAAAAAATACATCCAACTCACTAACAATATAAGGAAAGTTGAACAGGACTTTCTATTCTTAACAGCCAAAGCTCCACACAATTTAGCGAGCAAACAAACCCTAAGTAGATGGGTAAAGGAACTCTTGAAGAAAGCAGGCATCGACACTTCAATGTTTCAAGCGCATTCTACACGACACTCTGCCTCTTCGGCAGCACTAAGACAAGGCTTATCGCTGGAAACAATCTGCAGAACAGTAGGATGGTCCGAAAGTTCCCAAACTTTTGGCAAATTTTACAATCGTCCGTTAATCGACGATACTGCGTTTGCCAAATCTATTATTAATCTTACACCTTTATAACAAGGGTATATATGATGTATTCAAATTCACTTATATAAATAAATGTACGTTTATTATATTCGTTTTTTATATGGTGATTATTCACACAGTAGTAAAGGAAATTCCGTTGCGAATCTATTTCTCTAAACAACTACGTATAATACAAAGTGATATCGAGAACCGAACACTGCAGTATAATTCATCGATCAAACGAACTTACCTGTAGTGAAGTTCGATCGGAATTATACTATGTGTTCGGTTCGAAGATATCACTTACCCACCCCCCAACGCCCCTCTTCGCAACGGGTTCTTACAATAATTTAAAAAATGACTAAGCGTGAGCAGAGACGGGGTCGGGGCGCAGGGAAATTCTGAACTTGCTTTAAAATAGGTGGTGTTAGGCAGCCAATATGGCATACTACGTATAATACAAAGTGATATCTTCGAACCGAACACATAGTATAATTCCGATCGAACTTCACTACAGGTAAGTTCGTTTGATCGATGAATTATTATACATACCTACACGTACGAAAAAAAATGTTATTCTTTAATGTTGCATAAAATGATCTAAAACGTCGACATTTGATGAAATTTTGAAAACGGTTATCGCGTGATAGCTAGCTAGCTGAGGCTAGGAAGTTAAAAATTGTTGTATTGTAATTATCTCATCTGTTTTCTCCACTACGAAAGAAAAACATTTCAAGTTACAACACTAACAAAAGCAAATGAGTCACTCTCCTTTCATGCGCGCATATCATTAACTTGTACATAAGTTCATACATGTCACTTATACTTGAATATTGACGAGGATATCCTCCAAAGTCTGAAGATATCCACCAATATCTGCGGATATCCATCGGATCTCCTCGGACATCTTTGGATATCCACCGGATCTCCTTGGACATCCTCGGATATCCTGCGGACATCTATACCACTGTGTACACTGGATATCCACTGCGATTTCCCCCTCGATTCCACACGTCTTCCTGAAAAACGTTTACCAACGTTTTTTCATCCAAACGGTGTTCAGATATAAACTTTTTTAAGATTTCTGCGCCTGAGACCTCATCATCAATTATGAATGGGATAATTAATCAGCATAAAATTCTGCATAACTTTGTCCATTTAACCGACTTTACATCTCTTGCAATCTACGAAATCCTTATACCTACTAGGAAGTGAAAAAAACTCATTTCTAGCAACCAGATTTGTTACTGGTTATCACATTAGGTTCAGAGTTGTCTCCATTCTTAAATTAAACAATAAATATTTACCTTTTCGTATTTCATAACCTGGAGCACATCTTCTGTTACCGCCTCCCGTTCTGTGATAAATCTTTGCAGTTCCTCCTCCATTTGCAGCGGAATTAAGTACAATTATAAAATGTCTTAAAAATAGATCACGAAAAAATCCAAAACTAAAATAAGAAAACACGAATTCTGTAAACAGATTTTAATGCAATATTGCGTACGCCCATTGAATATATTTATTATACAAGACGATAAAGGGCTGTTTTAAGCATCGAATGAATTAACTTTCACGAGATGGTTAGTTTCCCTTTATCGTTGTGTATAATACGAAACTTTATTTTATAGCAGCAGCCATATAAATAATTAATTATAAAACTTCTCAAAATTCTAAATAAAATTTAGACGCCAAAAATAGTAAGCTTAGGTTCTGCCACCGCAGTCGTTTCCATAGAAACAACAAATTGACATTGTTCTGAACTACATTTTATTTCATGCTCAGCGTCCCATTTTTAATAAGAATGACAGATGTCATTAGAATGTCTGTTTCACTTTATCTATCCTTGCCGTTAAAGTGATCACTTTATCTGCCCTTACGGTTAAAGAGCGACTTAGCCTACTCATTCAAACCTATTAATATGTCAATTGAACAGCTGCTATAAAATAAAAGTACTTTTATTCAATGGTTTTACTTAATTGTTACCACAGATGTATGCATACTACGTACAGACAGTTTAGATACCTGCCGTCATGGTATAAAATAAGTTGAACCGCCACAAATGTACGTTGCACGTTGCGTGGCTATGTCTGAGCGACCGTTAGAAAAGTATGCCTCGACGGCGAACGGGCGTTCCGCCTTCGTCCACCCCCTGATGGTGACTACACTACGCGGCGGAAAAACTTTATATGCCCTTCTCTGAAAGATACCTATTCCCACTTTCGTCAGAGCAACCGTCGCCTAAGGGCGCCGAATACAAATCAGCAAGTTCCTCTGCCCCACCCTGTACAATGTCAATACCATCTACTTATGAATACTGAGTAGTATACTCACCTAAGTTGTTATTTTGCTGAATAACTAATTCCACTGTATCGCACCACACTCTTCAGACTGCAGGGAACGGTCACACGTTTTGTTTGGGATATAAAATTATAAATGAAAACAAGTTGTAAATCAGCATATGCATGATTAAAGCGCATTTTTGGTAATGCAGGTCGGTATTTTATTAGCGAAGTTTAAAATTATCGATCTCACGAGTAATTTTGGCTGCGTTAAATAATTAATTTTATTTAATTTCAATTGACGGTACGTCTTCATTTTGTAAAACAAATCACAAAGTAAATAATAAGTTTTTATACTGGTAGCGCTATCTAACGGTAAAATTATAGCACCTCCGAAACCCATATCGAAATTATTTTCTTCAATTATCGATCTCACAAGTAATCTAACTCAAAATAGACTAGTCCTGCACATCTACACTATAGCAGAAAGCTTTTAGTGAAAATTTGAAGTCTCTAGCTATTGTAGTTGTGGAGATCTAACGCGGACAGCCGGCCTGCCAGCAATAACGAATATAATAGCGTATTTTTTTCAAAAATGCGCTAAAAATTGTGTTGTAATGGAATGACGTTATTCGCAAATGTTTGCATTAAAGTACAACGTTTTGTGTTATAACGCAAAATCTTGTACTTTAATGCAAAATTTTGCATTATAATACAACATTTTGCGATATAACGCTAAATCTTGTGTTATAGAGCAAAATTTTGTGTTATAACACAAAATTTTGCGTTGGAATGTATAGGAAACAAAAAAAAATACTGTGTCCCTTAGACGCCTTCGTATTTTACGAACCTCGTATGTATATTGCTGAAATTATGTGTTGTGCTACAAGTTCGTAAGTCAATTGTGCTATTCTTTTAGGATCTTAAAGTATAGCACAATTGAATTACGAACTTGTACGAGCGAGGATAACGATAACCTATAATTTAGGTCATCGTTATCCTCGCTCGTAACAACAATTAAAACTGCAAGTGCAAGGAGTTATCATCCTTATCGCATAATATGAAATAACTTTTCTTCAATCTCTTTCTAACACCAATTTAGTTAATAAATTGGCCATTGTGTGGTGAATTTGAGCACAACGTGGTAAGAGAAGTTTCATATCCCTATAATTGTTCAAAGTTGAAAATTTTGTTTTGTGATGCTAGTATGGAAACAATATTTTTCCGTCAATTGTATGTGGGAATTGAAAAATAAAATGAAAATGAGTTTTCTCAGTTTTTATACCTAATAGCTATTTATGTAACAAGTTGCAAATTGTCTTTGGCGCACTAGACGTGTACTTGTCCAATGAGCGCAGCGTTTTCTAATTTTATAATTATTTGTAATTGCGTACGTTAGGTTAAGTCGAGGGTTAATTATATTTTTGTGCAAATCAAATTGTTTAATTTTAATGGCTCATTATTTTGTGAGTGTACTAACGAAAGCGATAGGTTAAAAAAAGGGTTCAAGAAACACAATAAACACATAAAAAAAGATTAAAATATCGTTAGTCCTTTAGTGTTACGCAACATTCAGATATAGAGCAATTTTTAGCGTATTTTCCTCAAAGTGAAAAATCGCTATTGCCTGCACTTTGTCGCGCGTCCGTCCGTCCGTCACACGTACAACTTCTACACGACTGAACCGATTTGACCGATATAAGACTCATTTGAAAGGGCTTGAAGCAAGGATTCCGTGCGTACCGATATTTTAGTTTTGCCCATGCGCAGTGTCAAAAGGGTGGTTTAACGCATGTGCAATGGTAACTTTTTTATTTATGAAGTTATTTAGATGAAACTTTATATGTAAACACTACGAATATAATAGGCACTCGGAATAAAAACAAATCTAACACCAGTTTCAAAATCTGATTTTGCGCATGCGCAATGCCAACTTTCTAATTTACGAAGGCATTTAAACGAAACTTCACGCAGAGGCATTTGGAATAAAAGCAAATCTAAAGGCGCGTACTGACCTGAATGTGCATGCGCTGAGTCACGACGCACGCACATGCACGTTCAGATCTGGACGTGGCATTCGCAACGACTCAGCACATGTTTATCTTCTCGCGAGTGGTGGCGAATGCACATAACCCGAGCCATCGGCTGTCGGTTTTTGTCACCGCTCAAAGGAAATATATCATGCGTGCGTGCTCAATTTGGACGTCATTTTAGTCAGTTCTTGCCCGTACGAACGCGTGCATGGTTTAAGTAGTAATTGACAAAATGGAGTGGAGTAATGACGAATGCCTTCAGCTAATCGATCTCTACGAAGATAATCCGGTGTTATGGAATGCAAAGCACCCCTCCCATTATTCAAAAAATTTAAAAATTGATGCGTGGGACTGAAGATCTGCTGCATCCAAAATCGTTTAGGCCGCTTGTCTCGTTTATTTTTTTTTTAAGTAAAGTGTGAATTACTACATAAGCAGCTCCCGCGATAATTACTTCCGCCATATTTAGAAATGAACCGCACGAATGGTCGGAACAGACTGAAACACAAAACATGCATTCGCTGAAATTAGTTTTAAAAAACGATATCTTTTTCCATTCGCACGCATACCAGTTCGTTCGTCGCGACTCAGCGCATGCACATTCAAGTCAGTACGCGCCTTAACACCAGTTTCAACATTTGGTTTTGCGCATGCGCAATGCCAAATTTCTTATTTGCGAAAGCATTTTAATGAAATTTGATACAGATGCACCTGGAATAATAGTATATTAAGAAACCAGTGCATAATCAAAGTTTTTAAAGCACGCGTAATGAGTTTAATTTTAAACGTTGCAAGTGCACAAAATTACGTACACTTTCACACACACTAAATGATCACATTTTACCAAATTACGTTAACGATAACACAAGCTTACATCAACTACACTTTGTTGTATATTGTGGTGCGGTTGCAGTTTGTAGATGTAACTGTTCAAACAACATCTAGTTCATATACCTAGCGAATTTAATACTTTCAAAGTTGAACATTTCGTTTGTGATGCTAGTATTAAATTAACGTAGGTACACACAATTAAAGTGAAAATGGAAAAAGTAGTTGAAGATATTATAATCCAAGAAGTTCAATATTACCAAATTTGCACATCTACTCATTTCTACCTAGTAACGTAATTAGTTACCTATACTATTTTTATGCTCAGTATAACGCCATAATTAAAGAGCAATAATAATGACATTTGAGTGAAAATTCTTTAGCAATCTTTAGGAGTATTAAAATTGGTTTAAACAAATTTACTATGCAAATTCTTAAAAATAATCGACCACTAGTTTATACAAATCAAAAATTCAAAATAAGTTACAGTCATTAATGATAATGTGGATGAGATTCCCTTCAGGTTGCGATTGCTCTTATCGTTCGCTTCCCTTGAAAAAGGTAGCTTCAACGTAGAAATATGGAAACAGATCGCTTCGTGATGGTACAGTTCAACTTTCTGTACCGCCCAGGTAATGTCAGTTTTTTTTTTAAAGATTTAGCGAAAAAAAATCGTCCGTATAAATTACGAATACAAGCAAATCGGCTTCAGATTCTCGAAAGTAACGATCAAGATATTATTTATGCACAGGAATAAAATGCCAAATTTTCCACTGTGTAAAATATACTGGAAGTAAATTGTCTTTAAAATGTTTTACTTCTTACAAATCCATGAAATACCAGGGCAGAATTTGATATAATACTGCAAAAGTACGTCATACACATCACGCCTAATTATTTCTTTCCCACTAGTGGATCACACATAGGAAAGATTTTTTGGTACATTCTTTCTAGATAATAATCATAATAGGTTCGTTTGTTGCCGTTACGATTTTCAATTTTTGAGCTTAGTACATTAGTCATTCTTAGGGCATTTCCACAAAAATAAAAAAAAATGCGCTATTGTGGCCACTTTGTCCGTCCGTCCGTCCGTCCGGCTGTCCGTCCGTCCGTCCGGCTGTCCGTCCGTCCGTCCGTCTGCTCGTTTTGCGACGCTACTAGTTCTTTATCTTAAGAGCTATTGTTCTACTTTTTTCGCTATTTGGTTCGTTATGGTGTCAAGTCTTGTACCAAGGAAGGAATTTTTTCTGTACCGCTTACAAAAAAAGTTATTGTAAAAAAAACAAAAAACCGTTTTTTTACATGTTCCATAATTTTACACTTTTGCCGTTATTAACGATCCTAGAGATCGTTTATAATTTTGCATTGCTATCTGTCGCCTGCCGGTTGGTCTGTCCGTCTGTTCCTTTGTCTGTCTGTCCATCTATCTGTCCGTGTGAACGATAACTTTGTTTAGAAATGTTCGATCGCTTTACATCTCCGTGAGTTATGAACTGAATTGCATGAAATTCAATATGGGCATAGATTTAGCCATATAATACGCAATGCCAAAAGTTGAATCGAATCGATTCAAAATTCACATTGCCCTTTTCGCATCTCGACCATTTATAAACCGAATTGCAAACTTTTTTACTTATAAAAGTATTTGAATGAAATTTGATACATAGGCACTTGTAATAAACGAAAATCAAACGCCAATTTCAAAATTTGGTTTTGCGCATGCGCAGTGGCAACTTTTTTATTTATGGAAGAATTTAAACGAAATTTGATACATAGGCACTTCGAATAAAGGAAAATCAAACGCCAATTTCAAAATTTGGTTTTGTGCATGCGCAGTGCCAACTTTTTTATTTATGGAAGAATTTAAACGAAATTTGATACATAGGCACTTGGGATAAAGGAAAATCAAACGCCAATTTCAAATTTGGTTTTGCGCATGCGCAGTGCCAACTTTTTTATTTATGGAAGAATTTAAACGAAATTTGATACATAGGCACTTGGGATAAAGGAAAATCAAACTCCAATTTCAAAATTTGGTTTTGCGCATGCGCAGTGCCAACTTTTTTATTTATGGAAGAATTTAAACGAAATTTGATACATAAGCACTTGGGATAAAGGAAAATCAAACGCCAATTTCAAAATTTGGTTTTGCGCATGCGCAGTGCCAACTTTTTTTATCTATGGAAGCATTTAAGTGAAATTTGATACTTAGGCGCTTGGAACAAAGGAAAATCTAACATTAGTTTCAAAATTTAGGTTTGCGCATGCGCAGTTTCAACTTTCTTATTTAGAAAAGCATTGAAATGAAATTCTTCTCATAAACTGAAATTGAAGTAACACGTCAAAAATGGATTGCCCATGTGCAACGCTATCTTTCATATTTGTGGCCGGATTTTTACGATTTTAACAGAAGTTGCATCTTACAATTAATGGGAAATGAATGCAAGTGGAAATGCGCTTTATGTAAATCGTTTAGGATTACTTTTTAACTTGTTTTAGGATAGCTTCGATCTGGCAACATCTTCACATCAAGAAAGGATGAATAAACCTGATCTATATACAACGCATGCCACTCCCAACAAAATAGAATATTACAGAAGGATATTAAATACATACCTTCCTAAAATTCGCCATGGAAACAACAAAAATAAATCGGCGTTAGATATCGGGTGCGGTCAAGGCAGAATCACGCATGATATTATCCTACCCTACATAAAGCAAGAGATCGATGAAATAATTGGAGTTGATATTACTGTTCCTATGATAGAGCATGCTCAAAACACTTACGCAAATGATCAAATTAACTTTAAGTTGGCCAACGTAGCACAATCTGTTCCCGATGATTTTGCAGCGCGCTTCGATTACATATTTTCTTTCATGACACTCCAGTGGATACTCGATCAATGGTAAGCTTTCTTTGACGGATCACTTACTAATAATCGGTACGTATATTTTTACAGGTCACTATTTTCCAACATTTTAAAAATGTTAAAACCCAACGGAAGTTTTCTTGTGACGTACATCGCCAAATCTAAGATGACTGACATATATAACGAAGTTCGTAATATTGAAGTATATTCCCCATATATCCCGTACCGCAGATATGCGCCGTTTCACAACTCAGAGGACCCCCAACAAGAGCTGACTAGCATTCTTCGTGATACAGGATTTGAAGACATTCATTGTGAAGTAAATCCAGTTCGATTTGACAATTACAGTAGGTCGGAAATAGAAAGTAACACAATAACTATCTACCCTCTTAACGAATCACAGTAACCGATTTTAGGTTTCTTTGTTTCAATACTTCCGTATTATGATTGCATCCCAAATCACTTGAAAAAGCAGTTCCTTGCAGATCATGCTGACCGAATGTGTACAGTGACCGGTGCGAATGGCGAGGAAGAATATTACATAGAGCACAATATGTTTATTGCACATGGAAGAAGGATATAGAACCAATGTCACTAAAAATACCACAATGTCATCATTTTGGATCTACCTACATTTTTATTTATTTATTTAGATAACTTGTTCAATTATTATTTACAGGATATACAAAATGCAGTGCGTTCGAGATAAAATATGCATATTTAAAATCTAACATGTAGTGTGGCATATCACATAGAAAAGACCTACATAAATTTGTTCAATGTGTCGTTTCCACTTGTGTAACACAACAGTTACGCGCATCCTGACAGCACACGGCATGGTAGATTTCATACCTAAATTTTCTAAATATTGAATTACGAATTTTTTAATTTTGTTAGAAATCAACCATATGCATATTTTATGTTGTGCTCTTTTCAAATATCTTAAAAAACACAGGCATTGCATTTGAAAATAAAAAGTTGCATCCGGTTAAACCGGTAGTGATACCGGAAGTTTTAATGATCGAATAGATCGTAACGTTACGAATAAAAGTATATTTGACAAATTTTTCGTATCTCGCAAAATAAAAGAGACATTGAGGTGGTCCTCTTATCTAGAACGCACTGTATATACAATATAATCTAATATAATGAAATAGCGAAAACCGAAAGTCGATTGGCAGCACAGGGGTAAAGTTTTATCGTGCAAAAGCATGCAGGCAAAGGAAAATCGAGGACATGACCGTCACCTGCCACTATTTCGGCGGATTGAGTCTCAAATAACACCTTTTGAAGAAGGCGCGTGTTATTGCGTTATACCAGTACAGGACAAAAATCAGTTTTGAGAAACAATATGTTCAAGCATGCATACAACACGAAGGTTTATCTACTGAACCCAAGAGAATTCCTTTCTTGTAAATAAACACAATCTCGAGTATATGATATGGTGCCAGTTTTCATGTGAAGACAGAGTAACCAGAGTAATGCAAGGTTTAAATTTTAAGCAGCTTTTACACAGAAACGTTTTTTAACGAAGTGTGTAGATACTAAATTGCTACGGCGATTAATTTTATAAATCTAGGTAAGGCTTTTACTCAGACCTATATAAGGTAGCGTAAAACTTTTTCTGAATTGTTATCGAAGGTATGGTAAGCTTTTCTAACGTGACTAAATAAAGCGTTTTTCTTTAATAAAAGGATCACCGTCATCTTTATTTTACAGGGATTTTTCGCCACTTTTTGGTGAGGTTATACAAGAAACGGGATATTAAAAATAAGTACGTCCAATTTCCGTACGTTTTTAATCATTTCATATATCCGGAACTCAAAGACAAGTTTCTGAAAAATAGACTAAAGAAACAGAAGAAGATTCTAGAAATAGAATAAAAATTGAGTCCAATTTGTTGTTCACTACTAATAAATGCCCGTCACTTAAAAACACGAACTGCTTTTATGGTGACTCGATTTATAGCAACTGAAACGTCTGACGAAAACTAGATAAATGTAAATTGGGTAATTGGATGTACTCGACTTAGAACTAAAGCGTATATCAGAACGTCTGAAAAACTTGTAACAGTCGCTGTAAATTTGCATTTGAATTTGTGATCTTTTCGCAGAAATAGGTAAAATAAAATAGGAAGTTTAGACATTATTCGGGTGTTACGTAATTTAACATTGCGTGTTATCGAAATTTACCGGTTGTCAGAATGTAAAGGCTCGAAATTATTTTTCAGATGGATTGTAGTTTTGATAGAATTTGAAAGCATAAATTGGTCAACAGCAGTGCAAGGAACGTGCATTTATTCCTGCGTTGTTTAATTTCTAAGAGGCTTTGTTTCTTAATGGTTGTCGGAAATCTTGCGAGCCGAGATGTCCGTAATTTATATCATATTACTTCTTCTTAATGAGGTGCTATTTAGTTACACCTGCAAATGCACCAGGAGAAAATTATCTGGATCATAACAAACAAGAATCATCAAAAATTTAGTACGTGGGTTGCTCAAATACGGTAACGCCAAACTGAATTATATTTCCGTATCGCCGAAGGGAGTTATTTCGTAACTGTTCTTTTCTTTCCTGGTTTTGCTATTCTATAACGCTACTGACTATGAGTCTATAGTGATTTTACACTTACAGCACAGACATACCCCAATGCAATACCTTCCTTACTAACGTGCGAGTGGTAAAAATAGAGGAATAACCGTTCGTTAATACTGATTATTCAACTTGTTGATTATGACTTGATGAGATCTGCGGGTTAATGCTACTTTTAGTACGTACTTATAGTTAATTTTCATTATAAAAATTTCAAATGTTGGTTGTTTTTTTTGTTCTGTATCTCGCGCCAAATTTGCAACTGAAAGTCTTCTATTGAGTATCAAACATTTTATTGAAACTAATTCAGAAATTCCAAAAAAAGCACCAAAATCTACACTGATAATACCGACATAATAATTTGAAAATCACCGCATGACGTCACCTAAACAGCCATAACTCCGTCTACATGCGCAATATAATTTTGTATCGATAATAATAATAATAATAATAATAATCGATATCCAAAGTAGGCACTTGCGCTCGTATTTGACAAGGCAAACGTCATCTTTTTCGAGGAATTTCACTTAGTCGCTTATAATCGACTAAATAAAAACAAGTTAAAAAGTAATCGTAAACGATTTACATAAAGCGCATTTCCACTTGCATTCATTTCCCATTTATAAGATGCAACTTCTGTTAAAATCGTAAAAATCCGGGCACAAATATGAAAGATAGCTTTGCACATGGGCAATCCATTTTTGACGTGTTACTTCAATTTCAGTTTATGAGAAGAATTTCATTTCAATGCTTTTCTAAATAAGAAAGTTGGAACTGCGCATGCGTAAACCTAAATTTTAAAACTAATGTTAGATTTTCCTATGTATCAAATTTCATTTAAATTCTTCCATAAATAAAATAGTTGGCACTGCGCATGCGCAAAACCAAATTTTGAAATTGGCGTTTGATTTTCCTTTATCCCAAGTGCCTATGTATCAAATTTCGTTTAAATTCTTCCATAAATAAAAAAGTTGGCACTGCGCATGCGCAAAACCAAATTTTGAAATTGGCGTTTGATTTTCCTTTATTCCCAAGTGCCTATGTATCAAATTTCGTTTAAATTCTTCCATAAATAAAAAAGTTGGCACTGCGCATGCGCAAAACCAAATTTTGAAATTGGCGTTTGATTTTCCTTTATTCGAAGTGCTTATGTATCAAATTTCGTTTAAATTCTTCCATAAATAAAAAAGTTGGCACTGCGCATGCGCAAAACCAAATTTTGAAATTGGCGTTTGATTTTCCTTTATCCCAAGTGCCTATGTATCAAATTTCGTGTAAATTCTTCCGCAAATAAAAAAGTTGGCACTGCGCATGCGCAAAACCAAATTTTGAAATTGGCGTTTGATTTACCTTTATTACAAGTGCCTATGTATCAAATTTCATTCAAATACTTTTATAAGTAAAAAAGTTTGCAATTTGGTTTATAAATGGTCGAGATGCGAAAAGGGCACTGTGAATTTTGAATCGATTCGATTCAACTTTTGGCATTGCGTATAATATGGCTAAAGTTATGCCCATATTCAATTTCATGCAATTCAGTTCATAACTAACGGAGATGTAAAAGCGATCGAACATTTCTAAACAAAGTTATTGTTCACACGGACAGATAGATGGACAGACAGACAAAGGAACAGACGGACAGACCAGCATGCAGACGACAGATAGCAATGCAAAATTATAAACGATCTCTAGGATCGTTAATAAACGGCAAAAGTGTAAAATTATGGAACATGTAAAAAACGGTTTTTTGTTTTTTTTACAATAACTTTTTTTGTAAGCGGTACAGAAAAAATTCCTTCCTTGGTACAAGACTCGACACCATAACGAACCAAATAGCGAAAAAAGTAGAACAATAGCTCTTAAGATAAAAAACTAGTAGCGTCGCAAAACGAGCGGACGGACGGACGGACGGACAGACAGCCGGACGGACGGACGGACGGACGGACGAAGTGGCCACAATAGCGCATTTTTTTTTTATTTTTGTGGAAATGCGCTAAAAAACGCTCGCTCTCCCAATTATTAACCATAAATCAAATATGCATTGCTCAGAGTATCCAATGACAACGAGTAAATGATATCTTACATTTGACTAAAAAATTTAAATTTTTGGAAATATGTAGCAGTTCACATTGTACCTACTTAGAAAAAATCTTGTGTGTAATTCGAGCGCAAATTGATTGTCGAAATGTCCGCGTTCACCGCTCCAGTAGTTTTGCTTGTAATGAGAGAAGAATAGAAAAGTCGGAAAAGAACATTCTATGTTATTTTAGAATGGGTTTCTTTTATTAATTTCAAGTATTCATTGTTTTGACGTAAACATTTGGTTCTGCTTATGGCATTACTTTATTAATGTAATCGCACGTTATATAACTTTGGTGCCTCTTCAACTAAATGGTCTTTACATTGGATAAATTTCTGTCTCTTCACTTCACACGAGCGAAGTATGGTGGTACGTAATATGATGATTATTTATTAAGGATCCTGATCCTTTATAGTTTTGTAATGTCGTCCGCCGTCCGTCCGTCCTCCCGTGTGCGCTTTCACTCTTTTTAAAAGTGACCGATTGTGTGTGTTGAAGTTTGATGTACGGGTACTTTGCACATTAAGGACGGACGCTATTGATTTTCGGGAAGCTGGTTCAACAGGAACATAAGTTAGAGGACTTCACGAGTGAATCGGTAACAGGAAAAACTGCGAGCTCAATGTAACAAAATTAATAGCATTATCTCAATGCCCAAGACATGAATTTGATGCATTTTTGTTAACTATAAAATGTATTTTGTAAGATTAAAATAAATTGTCGCTAAAAGTGATTGTAATACTGAGGATCCTTCGATATTTCGTTGTATCGGTTGTTTTATTAAGAGAAACTATCAACAATTTTTAGGTATTACGCCAATTGCCAATTTAGAGAAGTCGTGTGTTGTGTGGAATGACATATAAATGGAACCGAACAGTCTAATAATTCCACCTACTGTAATTTTCCCTGTATTAACAAATCAATATTGCGCCGTATACCTATGTAAGTAATTGTTAGCTAAACAGAGGCTAATCGGTTTTTGTTTTCAAATATAAATTTGTTGCACGAAAATATCTACACCATGTTTGCCCCCCGCCTTGTAGCTAATTTTATAAGCTCAATACATGAGGTGTGTTTCACAGTGGGGGTAAATGAACTGTTACTCGGTTTAGTATGACAACTTGATTACTTTAATTATTGGCAAAATTAGGCACTTTAATTTATAGCATAAATACGTAATTGTGTTATGTTCTAACGAGTTATTTATCGCCCAAATTTCATTTGGTGGGGAATTAATGAAATAGTTTTGGGCTTTCGCAAATATTTGTACAGGATGTGCTAAGCATCTGAAAGTTCTTTTCGAGGCTAAGCAAGGTGCAAGTTTGTAGTTCTAGAATCTAGACTAATAGAGCTTATAAATGGGGAACATCAATTACTACCCTTAAACCTCTAT